TTGAGCACGGTGACCCATGCCTCATTCCCTGCAGAACCCAGGGAAGCTGCAAGATAACCTGAGCACCCCTGCTCCTAGCATGCATAAAGGAGAAGACTAGAAACTACTGCAGGACATGTCCGGGCAAGTGGACCTGAGAGAGCCTCACAGAGAACCTGCATCCCCTAGCATAGTAAGACAAGCAATGGAATGTTCACCTGTTCCAGATGGAGAGAGGCATGAGTACAGAAAAGAGAGTCCTCTGACCTAAAGAGGCCCTGCCATAGGGCTGAGGAGGATGAAACAGTGGCCTACATGGACCCAAAACTGATGGGAAAGATGGATATTTCAGGGGATCCCTGGAGACTCCTCACCTTGACCCCCACCCCCGGTGTCTGTGTCACACACTATGTAAGCTCCGTGGAGTGGAGACTCAAAATCCTGAATGGACTGAAATCAAGTTTCCACCACTTAGTGGATTGGGACCTTAAAATAGAAAATGAATTCAATCGTAGAAACAGAGTTACATTTCTTTGCACACCTTGAGTTTGTGGACTGAGATTTGCACCTGCTGAACTCAGTTCATTTGCAAAGATGTTATCTCCATAAATCAAAAAACCAATTATGACAAACCAATTATGCATCGTTACCAAATAAAGCCTAAAACATGTTTCTAAAGTTCATTTGTTGAATGTAAGCTATGTACTGTCCTATTCTTTTCAATACATGAGCTCATTTAGTCCTTACAATTCATAGGTGCAGCTGTCTCCACTTTATGATGAAGAAAACGATGACTTAGAAAAGTTAACTAGGGCCAGCGCCATGGCTTAGCGGTTAAGTGCACGCGCTCCGCTGCTGGTGGCTCGGGTTCGGATCCTGGGCACGCACCGACTCACCGCTTCTCCCGCCATGCTGAGGCTGTGGCCCACATACAGCAACTAAAGGGATGCGCAGCTATGACATACAACAATCTACTGGGGCTTTGGGGGTAAAAAATAAATAAATAAAATCTAAAAAATAAAAAAAAAAAAGAAAAGTTAAGTAATTTGCCCAAGGCAGAAAGGTGGTAAATAATGGAGCCAGAATTCACACCCAGGAATGTCTGACTCCTAAATCAATATTCTTTTTTTTTTTTTTTAAAGTGTGTCCTCCTTGGCGAAACCTCTGACGCTCCCCACCCTTCCTCCTTTGCTGCGTTGCTGGCTCTTTTTTTTTTTTTTTTT